AAATAATGCTGATTTACAGTTAATTTACAGAAGATACAGGAATTTTTGCAATAAACTATTAAAAAAGATAAAAATTGACTACGACAAATGCCTATTGAAGCGGGCCGGTAAAGACAGTAAAAAGCTTTGGAAGCACATAAAAAATGTAACAAATATGACCAAACAACAAGAATCGTGTTCGGATTTGCTTCATACTGAATCGTCATCATACTTGTCTGCTAACAATGTAAATAACTACTTTTTAAATGTGGGAAAAAACCTTGCTAGTCAGTTGCAGTCATACTCTAAAAATCGGACAAATACAATTTACCCACACTCAAATAATTATACCGAAAAATCATTTGTTTTATTAGACACAGACGAGCAAGAAATTGCTCGAATCATTACGGGAATGAAAGATAATTGTGCGGTTGGTTGTGACAGTATCAGTAATAGAATCCTCAAAACTTTTAAGCACATGTTTGTTCCTCCTCTGACGCATATTTTTCGTGAGTGTCTGTCCAAGGGCATTTTTCCGGCATGTCTTAAAAAGGCAGTAGTTGTTCCTATTTTCAAATCAGGTAATAAGGAGTCATTAAATAACTATAGACCTATTTCACTACTGCCCTCAATATCCAAAATTCTCGAGACAATTATTAATACCAGATTGAAAAACTACCTCGAGAAAAATAACATCTTATCACCATTGCAATTTGGTTTTAGAGCAAACTTGTCAGCAGCTGATGCAGTACATACACTCACAGATTTTATATCAGAAGAACTAGGAAAAGGCAACCACGTGCTAGGAATCTTTATTGATCTTGCCAAGGCTTTTGATACTGTTTCTATTCCACTGCTTCTAAAGAAGCTGGAATGCATAGGTGTCAGAGGCACGCAGCTCAATCTCTTTGCTGATTATCTCGATGACCGTTATCAATGTGTTAAAATAGATAATATAATGAGTTCATTTCAGAAAAATACTACTTATGGAGTGCCTCAAGGTAGTATACTAGGTCCTACTCTGTTCTTAATATATATCAACGATTTGTGTAATCTCAAAATCTGTCATGGGAAACTAATATCATATGCCGATGACACTGCTTTAATTTTTTCATCTACTAATAAATCGGAATTGTACAAAAATGCTCAATTGGGCTTTGACTCTGTTAATAGTTGGCTTTCCTCTAATTTACTAACATTAAATTCGGACAAAACAAAATTCATTCAATTTTCTATGCGTAAGTCTCCAGATACTACTGTTATACCCGAGTTATTTGCACATATATGTACAAATAAACTAGCTGGTACATGTAACTGTCCTTGTATCCTAAAAACTACATTCATCAGATACCTCGGCATTACAATCGACGAAACTCTCTGTTTCAAACAGCACATCAGCATTCTGGTTTCACGAGTCAGAAAGTTAATGTACATTTTTAAAAAGATGAGATATATTGGTGACATGAAACTAATCACGCAAGTGTACCAAGCCTTATGTCAGTCCATTATACAGTATTGTATTAATTCGTGGGGCGGTGCATTAAAAACTGTTATTCTACCTCTAGAACGTGCTCAGAGGGCTATCCTTAAGGTAGCATTTTCTCTTCCTTTTCTTTTGCCGACATCAATTCTATATAACACCTGCAATGTTTTAACTGTTCGCCAAATTTACATAGTACAACTAATACTTAAACAGCACTCATTACTCACCTATAAAACTAATTACTTTACTAACAAAAGACGGAATGACATAGTTTGCAATTCAACTTCAGTGTCAAAACACGCCTTTATTAAAAGATTTTTCATTTTCCTAGGCCCATTTTTATATAATAGAATAAATAGAGAATTAAGTATTTATAGCCTTAACCATTACCGTTGTAAAAAAATATTAACTAATTATGTACTCACCCTAACATATGAACAAACTGAGGAATTACTTGAGGTTTACAAATAATATAATAATAGCTGACGTCTGTTTATGTAATTGTACACGCGCACCTGTAACACTTAGATACTAATTATTTAAATGACTTGTTATATTTTATTCGTTTAGTTTGATAAGCAATAATATTGTAGTAAAAGTATGTCAGCACTTTTTTTACCTGAAACACAGGTTTGCACCTAGTTCAGGTTGATGTTAAACACTGTACTTTTTCTAGATTTTAAGATCTTTTTTTTTTTTTTTTTTTTTTTGTGTAATCTACCTTTTTACAACAAATAAACAATAAACATAAACAAAAATAAATCTTGTGTGTACAGTTTATTTTATTTGTGAAACTCTTTTAAAACCTACGCGGCGAACAGACTGTCTGTCGCAGGTGAATCCACGAGAATAATTACTATCACCAGCGACTGAACGGGTTCGATATCAGCACGGAAAAACTATCTGTCTGTTCCACAGATTGTTATGTATTTTATTATATTGTGGGGCATTGTGTTATTTTTCTGTTCCGAACAAGTAGGATACTTAAAAAATAATAGATCTCCTAAGTAGTAGTATCTGTGCTAATTTTAATTTGGGGGATTCAATTATTTATTACATAGAATGAGATGTGCAAACTTTTCAAAATGCACGCGATTTTAATGACGAGCCTAATTAAGACAATCAATGCAACGTTATTGTCTAATTTACTGCACGATATATATGTACATTATTGCCGCTTATTTATGTATCTATCGTGTTAACATTTGCATAATAACTGTATAACCAAACTTCACTACTTTGGCTACGCATTTATAATGCAAACTTTTTACGCATCAACTAAATATACATAAGTTTCAGTGAAAACTTTATGAATAGAAATTATTAACGAAACATGATATCGGGAACTACACGCCTATAGCCTCATCATATCACATCATCATGCTCCTCACTCATGTAGAAGGTTTGAGCATTAATGATCACTCTCGCTTGCTTGGCGGATTGGCAATAGTTAGAAATTATAAGTCCAGGTTTCCTCACGATGTTTTATTTCAACGTATGATCAGTGGTGTTTAAATAATCATAGAAAGTACACATACGAGTTCCTCAGAAAATGTCACATTGGTACTTGCCAGGTTCAAACCCGCACCCTCATAGCCTCACAGTCTAATGACGATAGTTCTACAGCAACAGATTTAAAGTATTGTCAAAAACATATTCGATATTATTAAACGTTGTGCAATTAGTTGTGCCAGCATTTTTATAAGTAAAAACATATTGTAACTAACTATGAGAAGGACGATTGGGATAATAATAACTAGGTAATAGGTGAGCCGTCTGAAGGTGGTGTGCTGATGACGTGTCGCTATTGGATTGTCAGTTAGTTACGTTTCTGAAGTCCGGTTACCATTAAGATAAATCGAGCAGATCCTTCTAGTCTATGGGAAAAAGTGATTATTATTTTTAAGCTATCAATTTGACTGACGGACAGTTTTGTCATTGGTCGACGTTTAAAGAATTCTATAGAGTTGGAGTAAAACATCTAAGTCATTCGTTAAAGTCTCGTTCGTTTCCGTTGACGGGATCACAGGATGCCGGACCTTTGGAAGGCGTACGAGGGGCCGAAGCCAACTCACAGAGACCCGTTGAACAACTTTAATATAAGTGAAATGGGACATCAGCCGGCAATTATCCCTGTATGCACTATGAAAATGCACCCAATGATAATCCTCGGCTGATGCAGGACTATTGCGAAATGTGGTAATGACTGAAACGGTTATGGGTATGGGTTGCTATGGACTGATGGATATGATAACTATGGAAATACTATGTTGAAAGTATGGTTATTATTATTATGTATGTAACAGATAAATAAACATGGAAGAACAAGACGTTTGGCATTTAGGTTTCCACTCCATGATATTGCAGTTTCATGTCACGATAAGGCACGTTGTTATTCAGGAAAACGCGTCTCGTTAATTTGACGCAATACTAATGACGTCACACCTCAGTTTATTTGTCCTGCATATGTACCGACCACTTCCACCACTAGTATTTACAACAATTGGTATCTAAACGACTTACCCAGATGAGGGCACGATAGTGAAGAAATGTTAGGCAATTACCTGTAATAAAATTACTGCTTTTATTTCAAGATTTTCTCTTAGGACGGTGATTTTGATAGCATATTGGTAGAATAAACATATATGTACATGGTAATATATAAATATGTCGTCAGTTATAATCCTGGGCGCCACGAGTTTCAATAACATACGCACCTAGGTGATACAGTATAAAATAAATAGCAGAGCTTTTGTTATCATAGCCTCAAGAGCCTGATAAAAATTGGTATTACTAAACTCTGATAAGTAGCCTAATCTAAGTACATGCTCTAACAAAATTGGAAACCCGAAATGATTTGAACCTATATTCAAATAAGTTATTTTTTACTTGGGAACATGGCCCCTAAAAGTTCTATAAATAATAGTTGTGATTCCTAATTTGCCCGATCGTTACCCTTTGTCGAAAATAGCAGCACCATGTTGTATTAGCTCCTACATGGAAGCTGTAAACTCGTTTCATTTTGATAGGCTCGCACTTTCAAAACAGTCAAAAAGAAAGTTCTATAACAATGTGTGCATTACCCGTTCGAAGCAAGGTAAGTGTGATACCATCTCTTGTTGTAGAGAATACAAAACTGTTGGCATTATAATTATTTATCCGTTAATTAGTAAGCGCCTCACGCAAATAATGTAGCACGTAAATGTAGGCGCGAACTAACTCATTAATTACTACAGGAGCCTGAAAGTTTTTGCCTGGCAGCGTTTCACAATTGAATTTTTGACATTTTTGCGAAATACATGGCAAAATGCTTAAAATTTATAAACAAACAAATCTAAAGTAGTACAACAAAATGGAATATACCTACTTATATGATTCGGCCAAACGTGGATGTCACGATTACACGAGACAATGGTATTTTAGTTTGATACCTGATGGAAACACTGGGCTATTTATTGAGTGAAGCGGAAGGCTAGTAACTTATATGAGTAGATAAACATTTTGTGAGCGATAGTCCCATATCATCGATCCTTTAGTCCTCGCCACGCTTTTCCACAGTTTCAGCAGTTTATTGTGTGGGAACAGCCAGGCACGACCGTTTCACGGACAGGTAAGTCAACCTTATATTTTGTAATTGACTAACTAAAAACGTCGTCAGTTTATATATCTTAATTCTCAATGGTTTACTTCGAGGTGAGTAGGTAGTGCGAAAGAAATTAAGAATATACTCAACCGAAAGTCAAAGTTTGTTTTTTAGCTAACGGCCATTCGATCAACAAGGCATTCTGGAAAACATAGTCAAATGTTATTATGTGTTAGAAAAATCTAATAACTCACTCATTATCAATTACCTTGAAATTATTGTGCAGATTAATAAATAACTAGTAAATTTTACATTTATAAACGATGCCATAAATCATGTACGTATAATTACATAGTTCAATTATAATGCTATATATTTTTTTATTGTAGGAATGAAAAATAAAACATTAAATAAATGGAAATAATGCGGTGGAAGAGAACGATTTTGATAAATGTGGTGCTAGTGGTAGCCACGTCAGCGCTGCACCTCAATGAACATGGGATACACTATGATCAAATTAGTACCAGCCCTTCTGCCCTCAATGATACGTCAGATCCGGTGCTTGCTCACACTGTAGCGCATTCTGTAAATCTTGCAGCGAGTGACGAAATCATAGAAGCAGTTGCCGATAACGCAACATATGAAAAACTATTCACGTCTACACAATCTAACTCTTATCCCAACAGCAAGAGCGTCTTTTATGCAGATGAGCCAACTGCCGACATAGAAAAGAGGATGGTCATTGAAAGTTTGCACGCTAGAACTGGGGACGGTGGTAGCAACGAAAATGGCGAAGGTGACGACAATAATGACGGTGACGACGATAATGACGATGACAATAATAATGGCGGTGACAACAATAATGACAATGACGCTAGCACAGATGATACGTTTGTTGTGGATACATCGTCTGGTAAAGTACGTGGTCATGTCTGGCGGAAAAACAACAAAATAATCAGCTACATTGATATACAATACGGCACGTTCAACAGTCTATTTGAGGTATGATAAAAACATATTGTTGTTTCCTAAGACAAAACCGAAATATTTGTAACATTCTTTTCTTCTTTCAGGCTCCAGTAGCACCAAAAAGATCAGATTCAGTTCATGAAATTAAAGAACATGCATCTCAATGTCCGCAGCTCCAAGAAGATAAAGATGTTGGAGATAAAGATTGTCTGACATTGAGCATCTTTAAACCAACTGATGTTAAAAATGTGAGTGTCCTAGTTCACATTCACGAGGGCAATTTCATTGGAGAAAGCGCAGATCCTGCAATATATGGTCCAGAATACTTAGTCTCAAAAGACGTAATTTTAGTATTACCTAATTATAGACTAGGACCGCTCGGATTCCTTTGTACACAAGATAAAACTGCCCCTGGCAATGCAGCTTTAAAAGATTTATCTTTAGCTTTAAGTTGGGTAAAGACGAACATTGAGAAATTTGGGGGGAACCCCGAAAATATTGCAGTAAGTGGCAGTGGCACAGCAGGTGCGTTGGCGGGATATCTGGCGCTTTCTCCGATGTCAAGAGAGAATGTCCATAAGGTTATCATAGAGAGTGGATCAGTTTTATCACATTGGGCAATAGACAGGGATCCCATCAGTACTGCAAGGCTTGTAGCAAGTAAAATCGAAAATTTTAAATCATTCGAGGATGTCGATTTGAAAAAGCTATTGAAAGCTGCAAAAAACATTTCATTGAGGCCGTGTTTAGAAAAAACGGAAGAACCTTTTATGACAGAAACGCCATGGACAGTTTTAGAAAAAAAAGAAATTAAAGTCCCTTTTATGATGGGTACCGCAAAGTTTGCTGGCGTGCATGAATTTATAAGCCTGACACAAAATAACGTTCAAGAACTCAACGATGACGTCGGTCTTTTATTACCAGACGATCTACACTTTACAAGCGGCGATGAAAGAACAAGAATAGGCCATAGAGTAAAAACGGAATATTTTGGCGAGGACGCAATTAGCCTGAGCAGCGTGGAGCCATTAACATTGTATTACACGGACGCTGCATATCTGGCTCCTACAATACGCACTGCTAGACCGTTGGTTGCCTCTGGAGCGACGGTATACTTCTATGAATTTTCTTTTGTAGGCAAATTGAACATAGAATCGCAGGCCATTAAAAGCACGGTAAACGGTGCAGTAAGAGGTGACATTATTGGTTACATTTTCACACAAGATGGGGTCGAGCCTGAAGAAAGTACAGACGAGCGAGCAATGGTGGACCACCTGGTGGGATTGTGGACCAGTTTCATCAATACAGGGTAATATATTTTGTATTAACCAAAGTGATCGAGATTTGCTGCAGTTATAGCGTAATAGAATATATATATTTTCTCTTGTTGGCTGAGGAGTGACAGTTTATTAATGTTTCATCATATTTTGTGATTACTGTTACAATGAGTGGACTCATACCGGCGCTATAGTTATAGACTAATAACATGGCCTAGGCATAGGCCCAGTAATTAGCAAAAAGAGATATGAATCAATAGACACGATGTTTTGTTGTAGTATATATTTTTTATTACAGTGTATGTATAGGTTTATCTGTGTAATAAACGATGGCGATATATGGCAACATATCGCCATCATCAGCATGTATATATACATACATTGAGATATTTCGAAAGTACACAATAACATGAAGTTTTTTTATGTGGTGTGTCGGCAAACGACCAGTCTATTTAACTGATGAGTTACGAGTGAGTTGCTGCCTTTATCGATCGGGATTGAGGAGGGATAGGGAAAGGATAAGCATTGGGCCTTTGGTAACCTCCCTCATATGGTAAAACATGACGTGGTAGTTTCCCGCCCGTATTTGCTGAGGCCGTGGTATCACACCGGTCGAGTCTATCCATTCATGCCGAAGCTTGGTTTTCCCAAGCTTTAAATCCTCTAGTAGCCCACAAATACAATGTAACGCAAACTCTTTGTTAGTTATGAGTTGCCATGCACCAGAATCCCTGCTTTTACTTAAAATGATCAAAAAAATTAGCCTGGAACAATTTGGCATTTGTGCTCCTGCGCTTAATATTGTGAATTTTGAGATCAGACATAAACAAAAAATCCTTTGTCGGAAGTCGCAGTTTTAAGGTTGTTTGTGTTATTTGTAAAGCACGTACGTTTTTATTTGTCACAGTACGCCTACGGCCACTGGCATAACTTGGGAGAAGTTTGACAACGAGGACCCTGATGAAGAACCGTGGCTATCGATCGACACTGAGGTGACTCAGTCCAAGGGCATGCACGTGCCACGCATGGCGCTGTGGGCTGAAATATACAACGAGTACTTTGTAGAAAAAAGCCTCGCCCACGGGATGTCTCCCAGCATCTGCACCGTGCTCGTCCTACAGGCAGTGTTCTTTATAACCTTCTTCAGGCACGCCTGGCACTTCTTCTGACGGACCAATATAACCATTTACTTGATGTCAATTAGTTGTTAAGTCACCGTGACAAAAGCCATGTACTTTAAATAATGTGAAGGTATATTTTGATTAAACCATGTGCACATGATTTAGTTTTTGATTTTGATACAGACACAATACTGTGCATTCCCACGCCTGCGCATAAAATTAGACTGCACGATTGACGCGGAGGCTGGGCAACCAGCTGTAGCTGCAACTTGCCGCGGATTCGATTCCCGATGGGTAGACGTGAGCGTGAATTTGTATGTTTAGAACACGTTCATGATACAAGACAAAATCCTAGAGGGGGGCCACGATTTAAAATAAAAGAAGCGAGTCTCTTTTCTCATTACCAGCAGTTAGCAGACTATAACTAGTCTACTAGATTAGAAGTAACAAGTATATTAGATTAGAATTTAAAAACCCCCTAAAAATAAATGGTATATAGTTATGGGCTGATTTTTTAATAGTCAGAGAAATGTTAGATATCTGAGGAATAAAATTGTTGCTGTCACTGTCATATACAATCATTCTAACTTTTATCTAATCTTTGAAAAATCAGCCCTTAACCGAATACGGATTTTCAGTAGCGATAATCAGAAGCTATTACATAATTGTATTGTTTAGGACTGCCGAGCATTGAGTCATAATCGTAAATAATCCACCGTGTCAATGTTTTGATTATATAGTCGCCGTCTGTTTTGATAGCCGCGTTTGTCGACAGCGCGACACATACACTGGAGCGCTTACTGACCGCGGCACGCTCGCGGCTGCGAAATGGATTAGAATATTGCGAACTTCGGCTATGCGGTTCGGGGCAGTTGGTGTAGTGTTAATAGTGAGCACAATGATATGTGTAGCCGTAGGCCGGCCCACACCGGTGCCGCGGGTACATCGCGACGTGGTCACCTTGCAGGGCACGGTGCGGGGGTACCTCGCCTCTAACCCACCCCACTTTGCGTACTTCGGCATCCCTTACGCACAGTCACCAACGCGAAGCGACAGGTTCAAGGTCAGCTGATTCGATGTTGATAAAAGTAAATAGTTGTGGGTGTGGATAGGTTGGAGTGTTTAAACAATCGATTCATGGGGTAAAACTTGGTGAATAGAGACCGGGGAATATTAAGGTTGATTCATCAATTCTCACCGCCGGTCTAGCACAGCAGATTATGCTTCGGCATGCCAAGCACCGACCGGAATGCACCCCTTGAACCAAATTGACCACTGACCAATGGTGTAGTTACACCATTATTTCAGCATTCTTAATACCTCGACACGGTATGGCTCGTTATGCTGCAGCATCCCGGCGCATATCATTGTAGAAGCGAAATAAAATAACATGAGCTCTAACTTTATTACAATAAGATTTAAAATAGACTGTTAAGTTACATTAATGAATTTATTCTTGTAAATAAGCCATAAAACATCACTTTTACAAGTCAAAATTATTATATGAAAAGAAAACTTTTCCGGCATTTCCTATCACAGTGACATACATACTCTGAGAAGAAATGCAGAAAATACAAAGCTTTTCTTTTTTTAAGTGACTTTTTAAGTAACTGACAATGAAAAAATTATGAGAGAACCGTGCAAGTTCATTCTGTCGTGGTCTTTTGAGGAAAGAACCACACAAGTGGACTCGTTCTGAAGACAGGCACGCAATTGTCAGTTTACAACCACCTCAACTACAGGGGTTGCTGAGTTATCCGATGAATAATACCGACCAAAAGAACATTTGGGCAGCATTGGCATTTAAATAAATAAATAGCACCTAGTCAAAAAGCACGGCAAAATCTCACACGGTCCTTAGACTAACAATGATTGCAAATAGTTTTGTGAAAGGCTATTAACTAACGTTGTCGTAGCGAGGGCCCTTAGGAAAAATAAGTTTAATTATTCTTCACAACGGGGCCTTGTGTCAAGTCATTTTTAAGTATTGACTATATTGTGTTTAACTGACCGTTCAATAATTTGCCTACACTTTTGTTTTTAATTAACTTCGCCTTTTGTCACTGGGTTGTTGCGTGGAATTTTAATTGAAGAACGTTCATTGTACGCGTAAACGTTGTATTTTTGCGTATTGCTTGACATGAAAAAAAAACATAAAAAATAACCTACAGTACCTACTTAATGTTGAATTAGAAAAAAATCCTGCTTTCTTTCATACTTCTCTTTAGTTAGACAACAATTAAGGTTTTATAAAAATAAGATGTTGAGAAGTGTTTTTGAAGACCTAACCCAACATCCTCGTGTCCATTGCTATTGATATCCTCGCTCGTATGTCGTGATCAAACTAATGCCAGAGCCGATATCTTTTATTTAACTTTCGGATCAGACCAATTATTTTATTCAGTCGCTGTACCTATTTTGCAGCATTTTGCTTGACGTAGGATAACTAAGTACCTACACATTTTTGACACCTGAAGAGATTTCCCAATAATTAGGTCGAGTGGGAATTGAATTGATCGCATAGATTGTTCCCTGGCAATCAGAGCAGCGCCTTCTCGTAATAAAATTAGACTTTGTACGTCAACGTGTGACGTAATTGCGTAAATAAATAAAATAATGTAAATTTAAGATACTGCGCACACAGAGTACTTTTTTGTGACAAAAATTCTATATAATACGAGTTGTAAGTGGTTCCTTTTACCTTTGATTCGTCGAAAAGGATGCTAAATATAAAAAAAAAATGTCGAGCACTTCCGATTCATTCCTGCGTAATTCTTATTTGTGTCATCTATACTTATATTATAAAGCTGTAGAGTTTGTTTGTTTGATTGAATGCGCTTATCTGAGGAACTAGTGGTTCGAATTTACCAACTCTCTTTGTGTTTGTTAGTCCATTTATTGGCTATAAAACATCACGCTACGATCTATAGGAGCCGAGAAGCGGCTGAAACCGTTCCAGATTAGCTTCTTAACTATATTTTCTTGAATACATTTTTATTCATAATAATAATATATAATTTGACGTGTAAAAGTGCCGTTTTATGGCCTATTGCAAAAATAAATTCATTGTTTCATTCTGCTCTCAAAAATCATGCAAGTAAATAATTTTTTTCATTCGTCCTAAAAAGGGGCACTTATTAAATTTTAGCTATTGCCAATTTGTTAAGGATAGATTATTGACTGCATTTAGTCGTAAAAATCTTTCGTCAAATCGTCTTTGTGACTAATTTTCAAAGGAACCAAAGGTTTATTGTTTTTTCAGGATCCCGAACCTCCTCCCAAATGGGACGGCATTTTTGAAGCCCTGCATAAGATTAAGTGTCCCCAACTTAAAGCTGATGGGGAAGAAAATTGCCTGGTCGTCAACATATTCACACCAGAAGAAAAAGCCGCTACATTGCTGCCTGTCATCGTATTTGTGCACGGCGGAGAGTTTCAGAACGGGTAATGTACTACTCTGTCAAGAAAGTACCGGGAAAAAGTCAATAATACACAAAATGTTTGTTATTCATCTAAATTTATTTTATCACCTTCAAAGTATGCTCCTTCAGAAACGATACACTTACGCCAACGAATAATCCAATCATCGAAACTTTTTTTAAACGCTGTTTCCGGAATTGAGTTCAGTGCTCGCCGCGAATTCTCCTTTATGTCTTCTAACGATTGAAAACAGGTGCCACGAAGGGGTAATTTGAGTGTGGGAAAAAGAAAGAAGTCGGCTGGAGCCATATCTGGTGAATATGGTGGCTGCTCGATGGTGTTTGTTGAGTGTTTGGACAAAAAATCGTTTACAATCATGGCCTTGTGCGAAGGCGCATTATCGTGATGCAAAATCCAAGAATTTTCTTTCCACATTTCTGGCCTTTTTCGTCGAATTTGTTCTCTTAAACGCCGCATAACGCTCAAATAATATTCTTTATTTACCGTTTGACCTTCGGGCAAGAATTCTGAGTGCACAACACCGCGATAGTCAAAGAAAACAGTCAACATGACTTTGACTATTGATCGACTTTGACGTGGTTTTTTCGGTTTTGGTTCAGTTGGAAGGCGCCATTCCGAAGCTTGTTGACTAGTTTGCATGTCAAACTCTTTAACCCACGTCTCGTCACCAGTAACAATGCGTTTCATGAATGTTGGGTCGGTATTGACTCGTTCTAGCATGTCCTCAGCGACTTTCATGCGATTTAGTTTTTGATGAAAATTCAGGTCTTTTGGGACTAGCCGAGCGGCAACACGTTTCATACCCAAATTATTTGTTAAAATGGTACGGATCGACTCGTGAGATACAGAAAGTTCGGCGGCCATCTCTCTCAAACTTGAATGAGGATTTTCAGTCACTATTTCCTTCACTTTTGCGATGTTAACTTCAGTTGCAGACGTTGATGGCCTACCAGAATGAGGCAAATCTTCCATCACATCTCGACCGCTTTTGAACGCTTTGTACCACTCATAAGCACGTGTTTTTGATAAAGTCGATTCACCGTAAGCCTTCTGTAACATTTTGAGTGCCTCCGAACACGAAATTTCATTGGCGATGCAAAATTTAAGACAAACTCTTTGTTCGATGTTTTTGTCCATTATGAAATTCGCAATACACACTAGATATTATAAAACTAAAAACAGCACTGTTTTTAATATAAATAACAGATGCAACTCAAATTCCGCGCCAAAATGGAAAACAGTTATGCCAATCTAACAACAACAAAAAAAAATTAAAATTCGAATTTGGAAACATAAAAAAAACATTCATTCCCGATACTTTGTTGACTGAATGTATAACGTTGTACAATTATTTAGTGAGTATTCTCGTCTGAATGCCGGTTATATAAACCCAGCCGTCACATTTTGATGTTATTCTAATTGTGTGTCTATTTATATCGAGTGATATGATATCCTTGAATACCTACGCGCATGATTTTTTGTAAATGTTTACCTACAAAAAAATCAAAGCATTTCATTTTGCAAATTATGCTTTAAATAGAATTCTGTAAAAAATACTTTAACTACACAACTAACTGTTCACCTTCGATGCTTTTAAGCTCGACGTAGGACATGTAGGCAGTCTACAACAACGTTATTCAGTAACTGGGAATTTCCGAAACTTTAGATTACATTGCAGACGCGGATGTTAGTTAAGAAACAAACTTCGTATCGATACTTTATTAAAAACCGTACTATGACGTCATTAAGGTAGCAGTAGGCAGATGTATGACGTCATGTTTTTAGTGGCACAAGTAGGGAAGAAGTTTTTTTAGCTATATTAACCAAACACTTTTTTACTACTAAGAATGTTGAGAATAAAATATTTGAAAAAGATATTCAATCAACTTGCAATATGCATAGATATCTAATATAGTTTCCTAAGGGCGGAAATAAAAGAGGAATGTTTTCAGGTGGGGCGCGTACCGGCCGCCCAGTCAGTTTCTCGAAGAGGGCAACAATGTGATCGTGACGTTCAATTACCGGCTCGGAAGTCTCGGTTTCCTGTGTCTCAAGACTCCAGACGTCCCTGGAAACGCAGGACTGAAAGATCAGATAGCAGCCCTGTACTGGGTACACAGAAATGTCCAACAGTTTGGTGGAAGCCCTCAAGATGTCACTGTGTATGCTATAGAGGCAGGTGCAGTGAGTGTACAGTTAATTCTATTGTCTGGATTGGCTGAAGGACTTTTACACAAAGTTATTTTAGAGTCAGGATCTGTTCTGTCTCCTGCTGCTTTGCAATATGACCCCCTTGATGCTGCTTATAATGGAGCTGCATCTTTGGGTTACAAAGGCTCGGATGACCCAAATGAACTGTATGAGTTTTACCTTCATGCTTCGGACAAAGAGCTGGTAACTATCCCTGAATCATTCCTTCCTTGTGTTGACAACACATCAGATAATGTACATAACCTCATAGATTTAGATCCAATACAAAAGCTGGAAGAGGGAATCTATACTAAAGTGCCCATGATAATCACATTCACACAGAAAGACACTAAATCTATTCTTGGAACAGATCTTCAGAGATTTGAGAATCCTCCAGACAATTTTGAATACTTACTACCACACAATTTGGAATTTATGAAAGAAGAAGTTAAAAGTGAAGTAGCAAAGATAGTGAAAAAGTATTATTTTCCCGAAGACTTTACTAGACGCAGCATGGCACACAACTATGCTTACTATATCCAGGACATTTTAGTGGACTATCCTACTATAAAGGCAGCGATTATGTTTGCAGCCAAGAATACATACCCGGTGTATGTCATGAAATTCTCTTTGCCTAAGACAAGCTGGGACTCGAGTAAGTTGGAGTCCTATAGTTTTGACACAATACTTGACTACTTGTATAAAGAAGAGAAGCAAAGCCACTTCCTTGTTGAGCTAGTGACTATGTTGATAAGGAACTTCAAGACTTTAGGGTATGTATACAATTGTGTGACCTTTGTAATTTCTTTTTGGTGTTTAAAATCATCTTAATTCTAGTAATACAGTATTTATAAATGTATCTCAGATGCAAACATAGTAATTAATTATCTTTAGATGTATTGAATTTTCTTTAGAAGTTTTCATTAATAATGTGTGCAACATTATCATCAGCAGTGAAGACAAAAGCCTCCTCCTTAATATTGTCCAATTACTACTTGCTATATGCATCAATGTGTGTTTTTGAAAATTAATATAATGTTTCAGTGACCCCACACCACTGACCACAACATTAATCCCTATACTATGGGAGCCAGTGTCCAGTGATGGAGACAGCATATCTAATATGCAAGTACTGCACTTTGGTCCTTCCACAAGGGTAACAATGTCATCACATAATAATCCACGGCTAAAGTTCTGGGATAAAATTTATACAAGGTTCCACAGCGCAAATGATGTCACACAAGATGAAACTGAAGATCTATTGAATAGTAAGGACATTGATGATCATGATGATAATGACCTGTATAGACTAGCATTTGTGGAAGAAAAGTAAATAATGAGTTATGTTGCTGCACTTGCTTAGGTATTTGTAAACTTTTGTCAAATAAACCATAGCCAGAAATAACTCCTATTCACTATGACTGACAAAGATATAGACTCGTTTTGTTACAACTTCATGGAAACTTATGATTTGTACAACATCAGCAGGTCAGCACGCCCGTGCACTTGTCATTCTTTCTAGTTCCGCTTCGCAAAATTTGAATGTCACCCAAATTTACACAACGCAATCACTGCGTACACAAGCATGATTATTTGCAACTTATACTGCTACTAATTATCGAGTCAAAGGTCATATTAACAGATTACAGTAAATAAAAACCAAACAAGTAAACGTTTCCAAGAAAATATCGACGTTGTCATAAATAAATCCCGTTACCTGAACAATCGGCGGCTGTAGAGGCGGTTCGATGAGTCGCCAACACTTTGTGCACTTAAACAACTATAACATAGCTGTCCTGGTCGTTATTTAACAATTGTTCACTAAATTCTCATTAAATTCTTATTAAAATCAACAAGTAAATTTACAAAAGGCAAAACATGGGGCCCTCTCCCGTCACATTTTACTTGACATGACATTGGCTTCGTTCGGAAACGTTCGTTCTACTTACGTTGACAATACAATAAATAGAACCTGTTTTACGATTTCTCTCTAAAAAAATATTTTATATTTTTATGATAAACAGACGTGCAAATCCAAATAAACTAAATAAGTGTAATTATTGACAATATGTGTTAAGTCTATGCGTAATTAGTTTTGTTTCTGTAATATTTTCACAGCATTTTTGAACGGATTGTTGACGTACGCACACATTCATAGTTTAAGCACATGTATATAAGAAATAGATAGCCCAAACTTGCGAATGTGTGAAACTTTCAAGTCCAGCTATGAAAATCTCCATTCATATTGCATTGTTATCAAGGTTTGAGTGTTGATGAGTTAATCGATTAATGTGTTATTAATATGTTATCTATTAGCCTGTATTAATCGCAACCAGGATTCCGGTATTAATTTAGGCTTACATCCGTGTATTTGAACGATTAAACTACCGTCTCTGAAATCCGCTTGAACCGGACGCCAGATGTTTAGCGACCCCGTTTATACAATAATGTTTACTTTATAAATTAGCGAGCTAAGTTCTTCTTGCATTCCGTCAATTAACAAATGTGGCCTTAGCGTTTTACATTGTGACGAGATTGTAGGTAATGTTTATTTCTATTATTGATTACAAGATGATTAGATCTTATTGAAACGTTGTGCGTACCCAACTAATTTGGAGGATAGACAGATTAGTACCTATGACTTCCTATCTGCTTGATATTTCCCGAAACTAGCTGTCTGGAATCGTAAAACATGAATGACTACTGTCAATAAAGTTTAGCCTATTACCATAAATAACAACCTACGGTTTTTTTGCGATTTAGACAAGCTAAAACGTTACCAGACTTAGTGAAACTGTGATGCACCTTAAAACATCCGTGAAAGTTAGTGATGTTATGAACCTAAACAATAGTTTCTTGTTTATCCATAGTATGTCAATATTTAGATGTTACGAAGTAAGTATTAACTGGTATCAACTCACCTGGCATTGTTAGTTAGGTAGGTACCTATTATTAGAATTCAGTACATAGATACAGTTTAAGTAGATAAGATAACAGATCTTACCTACAGTTCATTAGTCATCATCTTTAATGAAATAATAAAGATCCTGGGAATTCCGTTGCGATAAATGCTTTCGTAAAATGATATCCATACCGGAACTGAGTAGGTAGGTACCTACCTCAAATGTAAATGTATAATTAATAAACAGTTCTAGTAGGTACCTTTATATTAGCAACGCGTAGTGTTGCAGCTGGTTGCTCACTCGTGCCCCTGCGCTTGCGCATTTTTTTTATCTTTATATCACAATAGTTAAGTAAATTATAAGCTAAGCCACACAAAACCATTGTAATGGTTTGACTGCGGAGTCAATGAGTCTATTAACTGAGCAATTATATAACAGATATTGTATATGTAAAACTATGAATAAAATATTTCTAATTACATACACGTTATAAAACTTTACACAATTTAAAATAATTCTAAATAATGTAACCGTTTAAACCTGTTTGAATTTGTTTATCTCCTTATGTCTGCCGACAGACTATTCAATAGATAGGATGTTCACTTTTTTATGTTCTATCACCAAAATAGTTGGTTACTCTGGGCAGATTGAATTGATTGAATTGATTGAATCTACCAGCGCTGCAGCAGCCATAGATCGTGTATTATGGTTGTTATTTACGTAAGTGAAGTTATGCTCTAGGGTAGGGCGGTGGTTAACTGATAAAACTTTCTATTTGAGAGTAATCGGTAGAATTTTGCATATTTTAAATAATTTTCTGAAGTCTCCTTTACAGCTGCTTTTAGTTTTTTTACTAACAAGTTGTTTTGGAAATCTGATTTGAAGAGCTTCCAATTTATCAGCATGGAAGTAGGTATATGTACCTACCCATCCCCATATACCTATTTTGACGTTCAAAAGTGCCTGTATGGTCTAATTGAAATAAATGATTTTGACTTTGAAACTTTGACTTTATCTACGATCTGGGATACTCAGGAAGTGCAGGGCACGTCAAAGCGGTTAGGTACCTACAGGCTACAGGACAAATCTTGTATCGACGCGTGAAAGGTTGAAATACTAGGAAGGTAATAGTTTTCTTACTCATATGTATAATAGCTATTTGTTAAAACACAAACACATTTAAACACTAGCTAAAAGATGTTATTTTTAGTCTGTCAGCCTATGACTATAAACGCAACAATGTTTTTTGAAATTTTTTCTCTTCGTTGTAAATTGTTATGGATTTGTTTTATGCTAAAAATACCTATTGAAAATAAGTACCTATTGATGAAAACTATTAAAAATACGAAGTACCTACTTAGCCGAAAAAAAACTTTTTCACGTGTAGGAGAGCAATGGTTCGGCCCGAACGGGTCGAATGGCTCGATCGGAGTGATACCATGGCCTCTAAGAAAACCGGCGTGAAATAACCACAGCGTTGTGTTTCGCCGTGTGAGTGAGGTTTCCTAATCCCCAAAAGGACGGCCACACACTCGTAGATAACGCCTCCGTGTCGGATATTCATTATGCATCATGGGTAACGCTGATTGCCTGCCATCAGGTTCATAAACCTAATAGGTAATTGCGACTCGGAGCAGGATATGGAACGAGGTGGTTATTAGTCCGTAAGTGAAGAAAGAAGACACTCTCTTTCAGCCCAATAAAGGCGGGAGAAATGATTGAAAGTAATTATTACATACAAAAATAAAAGATTTTGGATTGTAAAGACGAAGAATTTTGGATTGTAAGGGTGATTACAATAAAAATTGGTGGCTTGATTGAAAGAAAAAAATCCAATACCTAGTTCATGTGAGCTGATAGCTTGTTTAGAAAAGAAAACAAAATAGTTGTATTGTACACAGGTTTTTATTATACGATATCCAGGCATGGCAAGAAACTATTGGTGCTTAATATAACTTAATTGTATCCATTACTAATTGCTATTTTTTTGAAATACATACAATTTTTTCGATGGAAACTTGTATCTATGCCGAATGGACGCTATGTTGTACTTAGTCGATCACCCTGATTGCCAGGGGAGCTGCCACAACATGGAGACTACGACCAGGGAAGATACATTGGCTGCATTTGCTCATAAGGAACACGATGGCATAACTAATTTCTAAGGAGTATAAACACTTCCTCATCAAAATTTACTTTTAGTGCACATAGTTATAGTAATTTTTATGTATTCCTAAAGGCGGTAAAGCCTTATTATTGATCTGATTGTCAGTTTGAAGTAATAAAGTATATAGATGTAAATAGGTACGCCTGTAAAAGCAAATGTTATGCTCCAAATTCTCTTAGGACTATGGTGTTCCAAACAATACAGTGTTACCAATCGTCGACCATTGACAATCGAAGGTTATAGATAATATAATATATCATGTATTTAAATATTTAAAGTTATTTTCATGTCATCATGTTCTTTTTAACAGTTTACTTACTTAAAACTAAATAGATATCTATTTAAAAAGATATTGGTATTTATCAATTCCACGATAAAGCCAGGAATGTTGTAAGTTTAAAATCTCTTCGAGTACTATAATTAATACGTTAACAATTATATTATAGCTGAATATCACATTATCATCTACTTACAAATAATTTAGAAACAAGTAGGATATCTGTGTAAGGTAGGTAGTATTTAGACGGCTTGTAGATTTTTAGTGTTGAAATTAGTTCTGAATTTTTAATCAAAATCTCCAATTGTGTGAGAATGTATGTACATTTCGTTTAGGTAGTATTGAAAATGATATAAACAGTATTTTCGTAATTTTCTTCAGAAACAACCTTTTTTATACTTAGAATTATATTACCTACTTCAATCTTACATTAATAATCTATACTAAAAACTTAACTAGTTACTAATATTGCAAATACAAAAATGGAATATATAGACAGCCTTTACAGAGACAGTACCTGCCCACGTTACCTAGGTACATACGTACGGTAGGTACTTATAAATATATATTACAATATCAATTAGGTGTCATTAGTTAATCACTTTCATTGGGATGGCTTTTGTAGACTTTCTTATAAAACTTTAATGGCAGACATGATTATCCCTCATTTATTGTTTTCGGCCCAGCTAGTTTGGGTATGTACTCTAGTTCATTGTTTAATAGCCGAATAGCCAACCACTATCAATTTGTCAGATTAGAAAAAAAGTAAGAAATAGAATGTTTAATCAAACGATTCGTGCATTTAGTTGTTGGTACTTAAACATTTCTAATGTTTCTGTTAGCGACCACCTCTAAAAGTCCTCGTGACAGCGAACTAATGATTTGAACTTAAGAAGAAGTAATATGTACTTATATAAAGTAAGCACAGACCAATACAAAGCGTGACCACACGTTTGCGACTTAGTCGCATCCTATGTCGTTCCAAGTTTAAAACTAAATTAACCGCGCGATTTAACGCGTGACGAAGGTGGCGCCTAGCTGGTACGCTACAATATTTTCGAATGTAAACTGAGGGTCTGAAGCCATTCCAAAGTGTTGAGCATCATTGACAATGTTCATTGACGTCCACGACGGTGTTCTTTCGCCAGCCGAAGAAGAAGTATCCGACAGCCAGGCCCAGCACGAGCGCGATGCACAGCCAAACGTTGTACGTCATGAACACCAGCATCAGCGTGTAGGAGGCGGTCGACTGCAGGAAGTGCAGCAACGTCTGTATCACGTGGCCTGACGAGAACATCGTGTATCTGCAAGGCACAAACATACCATATCATGAATTACTGATTACTTTGTATTTTGGACCGTTGGAATTATTGAAATAGTGTTCCAATTTGTAGTGATTATTTAGTGACAGAATACTGGTGCGGACCGTCTTCAATATATATATATCTAATGCTCGTAGCTAATTTCGATCCGGACGTTAATTAATTAGCTTGTCGTGTGTCATTCGACAGCAGACGGACGTGTTCGACATTAGTGTAATGAATGTGCCCACACTCGGCGACTGATCGTCACATAAATCTAGAGCACACTAACTGAACCTAGTAATTGAATTGCTCAAGTAATTAATTAGTCTACCAAAGACCGAAGCACTTTTTACTTAATTTTGTGTAAGTACCTACGTCTACTTTATTTAATTTTACAAACTTACTTGACAACAGCAGTTCCACCGCAAGGTCCATTGGCTCCACACTCGCTCTTGGTAATGTTGACCCTGGAGTCACCGGTGGAGGACGAGGCTCTCGCGTGCAAGGCCTCGCGGAAGTATTTAAGGCCTTCGTAGAGTACACCAGCGAAGAAGATGGCCACTGCTGACCCGAACAGCTCCAGCGCGTTGGTCGTCATCCAGCCGCTGAACAGGATCTCCTGGCACACGCCCGCGTGGAACTGAAAGTGGAAAAGAAGGGGGATTATTAAATGTGAAATTTGCACAGATGATGATGAACACTTTCTCACGAGCTCAAGTGAAAATATTTGAATTCACTTTTGCTATTTCCCTAAACCACCGACTGTATGGCAGACGTTTCCTTTTACGATTTTTGAATAACAATGCGGTTCCCACGATCTGATGTCAATAACATGCTGCAGTTGGCGATATGGACAAGTGGATACCAGCTAACTGGAATATTAAACAAATGAAGGACGAGGAAGTGAGCTAAGTGTCGGACTTTTAATAAAAAAACAATAGTTTTTGGTTAAGTTAACGGCTTTACGTAGTAATTTACAATAACTGTTGTGCAGTTGGTTGAGAAATAAACCAGAGCTTGGTGCTTGTCACAACAGTTTGGCAGGAAGCAGCGCGCGCGCCGACGACAGTGTGGTGACAAATAAACACACTGACCGACACACAGACACAAATTTCTCAGTTTTCAGTACAATCGTGAAGGAATTCGCGTGTTTATTGTATGCGCGGGCGCCGCACCGCGGACGACGGGAAATTCGCAATAATCTACATTTGTATACATCGCGCATAATCAATTTGTAACACTTCAAAGAGGAAAATATTAAAGAATCTCATTATATATCGTGCAGCTGTTTTTGTGGGTTTTGCATTTCATTATTTGCTGTTAATTCGTGTATTCATATTGTATCAACGAATAATATCTACATAGTATACACGAGGAAAGCAATATAATTATGTTAGGCAAATATAATAAAAAAGGGGCTAGCTAGTGGCAATTTATATATGTCTTTCACACACACACACGTGACTACGCACACGTTAAACTGTTGAATTATATCAACATGTATTTTATTTACACAAGACTCAACATTACCTAAAGCAATTAATACGTCACTTCCTGTCACCACAAACCGATAGTTATCGAGTAGAATTAACTCGTATCAATGGGAAAGAGTGGTGACCGCAGACCGCGTGCGATAAGCGACTGATAACAACAATATGTAATAACTGTCAACAAATTAATATTAGAGATAGTCAACTACTAGTCTCCGCTAGACTACTAAGTTTATTGACACATTTTCCTCTTTACATAAACACCTACCTACATATACAAATGTATAGTGTAATTTACTCATTACGTTAATGTGGGAGACTTCATGGTTCGGCGCGAATGGTCCGGGTAGACCGGAGTGATATGACGGCCTCGCTTAAAAACCGCTTTTTTGAGACTATCTCGCTACAACCTCACAAATACAAACATCAATACCAATTCAAAAATCTCAAGATAGAAAGGTTCTTCTAAAATGAAACGGCAGTTGCTCCATATTAAAGGCATTCAGTTATAACTAGATAACTTTTAGTACTGATTTCGGTCGGTTTAGTAAGTTGTTCGGTTGTTCGGCAAAAGCCACAAAAAGGCTATCTATTTAAAGTTTTTTAACAACTTGTTGCAAATCTTTATGACTGTGAGTTATACTTACCACCATGGCGTGGCCGTGGCCTGCGTGTGCGCAGGGGTCGTCGTGCATATCGTGGCCCTCGTGTCCATCGTGGCCGGGGTGCTGGCTGTGGTCCATGTGGTCCATATGATCCATGTGGTTCATTTTGCACGATTACCTGCAATAGATGATTGCGATAACGTTAATCTTAGATACTAAAAATCGATTAAAACGCAAACATTGGGATATAGGGTGTCATGGTGAACCGGAGGTGAAGGCGACCGCTTCTCATTCATGAGGTCAAGTGTCAATGTGACTTTTTCCAAGTTATATGAATTTTCTATGGTGATGTGATGTGAGGGATATTGGGATAAAGGAAGCGAATTTGTTTTATGCTGTGTAATGAAGTGTACTTCTTTAAGATTATCTCTACAGATCTATAACTTATTAAATAACGTAAGTTAAGTACGCAATTACACAGAAAACGAGATTATAACCAGAAATAACACCATGTACACAGCAGTTGCAGTGGACCAGCTCCTACATAATGGCGGAGCGCGGTACACAATACCCACGTAATTACAGCTCGCCGCTAAATAACAAATACACGTGTTGTATACTCGTATTCAGTGTTTTCCTTATTATCCTCAAATTGATAACTTCAATAGTTACATAAATTTGCTAGGTACCTAACTAGCGACCCGCCCCGGTTTCACACGGGTTCAATGTTAATTATGTATTAATATTCTCCACTGCTTGATGGATGATGTTATGCCTACATGTTATAAAAGTTCCTCTTCAATCACTCTATCTTTTAAAAGACGGCATCCAAAATCCGTTGTGTAGTTTATAAGGATATACGGACAGAAAAATCGACTTTGTTTTATACAATGTAGTAATTTGAAGTAGCCCAATCCTCCGCAAGATGTCAATCCTCAAATGCCCGCCTTATGGCCACTCTTCTGGCATATGTACGGTTTACCAAATCATTTTTGTATGCAGGAAAAACAAAACTGATTCAATAGGTACGGGCTACTAAGCCGACTTATTAAAAGATTTAGTATATAACAATAGCCATAAATATCGTCGATATAATTATGTATACAGACGTCCTGTGAAATAACTAAAAATTTAATTTCATGCATTTTCTTGCTTGCTTAGTAAATAACTTGGCTGATTGTAGCTATAGCTAAAATGAGAAGAAGTAAGTTGTAAGGATACTTAATTCATCAGAAAATGCATTTCCACGGCTGTAGGAAAGTACCTAAGAGACTTTTTTCTAAGTACCACTTGCAAGCGGTAAAGTAACTCTTTAAGTTTAAAATTGTCCTTGTCCATCCGCCTAGAGCCAACGTTTTGACCTTTTTTCGTATGAGAAGAGGCTTTCCTCAGCTGTGTGCACTGTCTTATACTCATTGACTTGATGGTTTAATGTGTGTTTCCCCGAAATATATTTTTCGTATGTGTGGTTAGAGTCAAAACCATTGTTGTCTGTGTACGCAGCAAGATTTGGCAAACGTGTAGATACTATCTGGAATTCGGTTAAGGAAAACGAACGAATACCCACTTAGACACTAGTTTTCAAATTATAAAGCTTTTTCCAAAATGTTTTGACGAATAACCCAGATTTTGTTGACTATCTTATTACCAAATTGACTAATAAATAAAATCATTTTAGAATCGAGTTATCAATCGAAATAGTTGCCGTAAAAGTTGTGTGTTAATAATGATTTTAATCATTCATCATAAATATTAAATTTGGGTTATCGGTATTACAAATATGAGTACATATCTAGGTATATGCTGCATAAATGTTGTACGTATCTACCTGGCTACTAATTTATGTGTGTGTACATCGTGGGCATCGCTGCGTTATCACTAAGCTAGTAAGGTAATCTGTTATCGTCATTTGTTTTTTTAATTGACAAGCTGCACAACATGTATGCTGTGACATCTCACAGGGTGAACGCAGGTCATTCTGGTCAATATTCTACTTTCTCTCTGTGTACTCTTACTCTTTCTGTAATCCACAAATAATTGTTCCGGGTCTTGGTAAGATGTGCTTATGAAATTGTATATTTGACACAATGAAACAATGAATTTATTTTTGCAAATAGGCCATAAAACGGCACTTTTACACGTCAATTTATATGTGAAAAACTAGATGAAGCCGGCATTTCCTATATGACTACTCTGAGAAGAAATGCCGAAACAAACTCAGAGGTCAGTCTCTTTTCAAGTCCAGACAATGTAAAAATAACATAATGTGAGAGAACCGTTGAAAAATGCATCCGCGATATAGATGAAAATTAAAAATAATAATTACAAAAACAGGTTACTTGCTTACCTAATAATATGAACACAATTCATGTATTAAATTGATTTTTTCATAGCTATGTTCGTCACAACCTGTTGTACATATATTATGTTGTATCGTGACCCATAAACTATTATTAAAAAGACAATAAACTATAGACTTTAGAGACATCTATAGAAACACTCGTCTGTAATAAATAACCTGAAAACATATAACTATTGTGATTCACTACCATTGTAGCTACAGCTGGTGGAAAGCAAATAAAAGGAGGCATTACAACGTAAAACTATGGCGTTGTTTTATAAAGAAAAGAATTACAAAGAAAAATATGTTCCTTGAATACTTAGGTAGGTAGGCATTGAAAAACTGTAGCTTTATTTTTCATTTAACTATTTCTATTTGTAATAAGTATAATACCGATAAGTAAAATAAACGTGCAGTGCTATATTAAAAAAAAATAGCTTGCGGGGGTTTTTAACATGTTATGATAACCGGTCACCTATTGTCATATGAGTAAAAGCCAGGTACAAGGTCTGTGTAGGTTTTTTATCTGATAGAACAACAAACGAGTAGACGAATTACCTGATGGTAAGCAATCAGCGCCGCCCATGGAGGACGGCAACGACGGAGGATTTATGAGCGAGTTGCCGACCTTTTAGGCATTAGAGATTTGGAGATTTTGGGATTGGGGAAGGGGAAGGATTGGGCATCCGGTAACCTCACTTGCACGAAACAAACCAAGGTGGTTGTTTCACGTCGGTTTTCTGTGAAGCGTGGTATCACTCCGGTCGATCTAACTCTTTCGTACCGAAGCATGGCTCTCCCACACTTACTAGTACAGAAAAACCCACATGTCGAGACTATATTATTATACAATAAATAATAACAATTGAGTGCACTCTGCTGCAGGATGATGATCACCTGTCACTTTATAATGTGTTGGTTGTGATATAGTATAGTATACATATAGGGGAACGTGACTTTAAGATCTGATAGGTGTATACATGTGACTAGGGACCGAGGATTTTTTATCTTAATCGTTACTTAGATATTTATAGGTTTAACAACATATTATAGTATGTCATCATAATCATCAGCCTAAGTGGCCACTGCTGAGCAAAAGCGTCTCGATCTCGGCGGATTGGCGATTTCAAACTTAATATTAGAAATATACATAGGTCCAGGTTTCTTCACGATGTTTTCCTTCACTGTATGTCTACGGTGTCTTAATAATCTTAGAAAGTAAATACATAAAAGGTAATTCAAAAAAAGTCATATTGGTACTTGCCAGGTTTTGATCCCGCAACCTAAGCCTGAAAAGCAAGCGACTTAAAAATATTATGTAGGTACTAGCTTTTGCTCGTCTTTTGTTCACATGGAATAGTGACTTCCAGCAGATTGTTGGTATTAAAAACTATCCCATGTCCTTTCTCGAGTTCCAAACTATGTCTGTACCAAATTTCACAGAAATCGGTTCAGTAGTTTAGGCGAGAAGAAAAGACAGACAGACAGAGTTACTTTCGAATTTATAATATCAGTTTGGATTCTACTAATTATAGTAGAATTTATCTCTCATAAGAACGACACGCAGACTTGTATTTTCAAACGCTTCTGCTGATCTTACTAACAATACGGGAAACTAGCAACACAAAGTTACAACGCTACAATTAAATTGCAAGTAGTTTTGCATAAAGTGCATTTAATTTTCCATTTGAGGCGAGACGTATTTCGTTCTAAGATCTACAGTTGTGCAAGATTGGCTTTCTCTGCGCGCAGGGCTGCAGCCTGCGCAGGCGCGGTCTCAAATATTGCGCAAACCATCGCGGCATCGCCTTGACTTCTTTTAGTACATACTACCTACTTCCTCGGTAACTCTTACAGATGAAGTTAATTCTTCTGGTTGTGTTCAACTTCTGAATAAGGTTATGACCGCATTGCACTGTTTGACATGTCCATTTAGCTTTAATTCACACATTTGTGTGACCAATTGGCATATAGGGGGGATCTGTAAGTATTCAGTCTAGTCTGTCCCTCAACTTGTACTGTCTGTCCCTTAGTAATATGTAGTTAGGTATTTTGAATTTTCTATTTGTACTTAGTGTGAAATTCTTTACTTCAGACCAGAGATCCCTACATAAGTGATTTAATTTCTTATTCTAATGTTAGGTGGAAATTATAAAGATTGATGTTGCCGTAACTACACTGTGCACCCTCTCATTTGATTGGTTTATATTTCATTTTCCTACTTTCGACTATGTAAGTAAGTACGTCAGTATCTAGTTCTGGGGTTTCCCGGTACGACTACCTACTGCGTTGCATGCGAGTTTATGCGAGCTGGTTTTCCTCAATAAAGCAGGTAATTTGAACTGCTATCTATGTATCTATAACTGCAATCCTTTTAACGATTATCTCTCTCTAGTCTTCTGTAACCTAATATTAAATCGGCCAATTACTAATGAAGGGTTCTGAAGCAGCAAGTTATAAAACTATGCGATTTTTGACGTTATAAAGCCTCAATACCAATTATGAAAATCTATCCATAGATATAAAAATGTTCAAGTGTCACTTGTAAATATGGGTATCGATTTGTTTATTTTTTGTCATTAAAAGATTTACGCGTTTTCGCATTTATGTTTATTCATTTTATACATACGTTACATTTTCATATTATCCACGCTTTCCGTGTATAGGTAGTTACTTATAATAAAAAAATACATGCTATCCGTCATGCCCTACCTACACCTTGACCTAGTTATTTGAAAAAAAATAAAAGTCGATGCGCAAGCGCAGTTATGATGTTAATACACATTTACAATATTTGTCGACAAACAAAATGTGTAAAGTAACATAACAGTTATTTT